CATATGGCTTAGGTTCTCCCATGCTCTGCTCACAAAATGATGGTGGTGGCATAGAGCTGGTCAGGACTAATTGCTGATCTGTGCAGCTCCTGATTCCTGCCCCAGCACTGCTTAGTTTCATATGGGAAAGCCATGAGAATGCACTAACAGTTAAATAGGATGAGCCCCATCAGACCAGTGGCCAAGTGTGTGCCAAGGTGCTGTTTAGTTTTCTGTATTGGTCTGTTCGAAGCACTTAGTGAACCTAGAGCGTCTGCATATTTGAGATGAGCAGGAGGAGGCTGAGCCAAAAAAATGAAGTGTAAGATGCACATCTGTAGTGAGAGTGACCTGTGTGAGGCTCAAATGGACACTTGAGAAAACAGGGGGATGGTGTTCTTAGGAGCAGTGAATTCTACATGGAAGTTGATGCTGATTTCACAAGATAATGGTGCTTTTTTCCTCAATGATCATCTTCATTACTTCATTGTGTGTTTAAATCTCAAAAATCCTCAAAGAAAAGGATGTATCTATATTTGAAAACGTACTACATCTTTCTATTTCTAGATGAAATACCTTCATTGTGATATTTATATCCTGGTTGTCTTGCAAGACATTTTCCAGTTTTTACATGGAGAATTTCCTTTTCTCTGGGGTTTTTTCCCTCTGTCAAATTAAACTGTAATGTATGGCTTGGACAAAAGATAAATGTTTTCAAAATAAGACCTTCTTGCTTATTCAAAGATTGTACAAAATGTAGTCAGTAATAATTACTCAATTTTCCTCACAGCTCTCTTGCTAGCAGATCACATGGCATCTTCATTATTCTGCGTGCAAAGCAAGCAGTGCACAAGGTCCTTTGTAGTATAGGGAATTCACTGGGGAGAATGCAAATGAACCCTGAAAACATGCCATATCAAATCTATGCCTGGTGTGAATTTACCAAACTTCACTAAAGCTAAAGGAGAAAGAAGGGTTATGCTGTGGTCAGGATCTAGTTACATTCTTTTTATGACTATCTTTTCAAGTATATGCTGTATCCTATATTTTTGTTCACAAAAAAGCAATTAACAAATAGTTATCTAATCAGGGTATTATATTATATCCAGGGCTGTGCTGGAATTTCCTGCCTAACAATACAGTATAGTAAAAATCTCTTAGCTATGTGTTTTAAGGAAAAATAATGGAAATTTTGAATAGTATTTCACAGTTTGAGCTCTAGGGCTAGATATTCCAAGAAGTAATTTATTAAATGATTGAGAAATTGTTCTACACTTCATTCTGTCACAATAAACTACAAAGTTTTTGTGTAAGTAATTCATTTTACCTATTACTACATTTTTATTTGATTTGATAATTTCTCTTCATTCGCTGTAAGGTTCCTAGAATCCAGTTTTGCAGAATTCATTTACCTTCTCTTCTCTTAGCCTTTGTAACAGTTTAATTCAATTATTACCTACTACTTTGTAAACCTGTACTTGTAAGATTGTATTTACACATCTGAACACATCTGCCAAGGGCAAGGAGAGAACAGAGGAGTTCTGGGTATCACTTAGTATATCTAGAATTTAGATGCTAGAGTAAGGTTTAACGTAAACAATCCTAAAAGCCCTGTATTGCCTTTTCAGGGGTCTGCAGTTCATATAAACTAATGCAGCTCCTTATATATAGAAGTAATTCTTCTAAATCACTTCTAACAAATTACAGTGGATAGGGAAAGCATCTTCTCCCCTAAAGTTCAGTGTAAGATTGATGTAAATAGTAATCATTCCATATAAACAATTTTTCAATAGTCAGGGAGATTAGAATATTACTTAGGATATAAGACTAAAGAAAATACTAAATTCTGATTATTTTTTTTTTGGCAAATGGCCCAAGGCTTTGATTTGAACTCTTCTTGCAGTCCAGTACTTAGAGAGTTAAGTCCAAATATGAGCAGTGTGAGGAGCGTAGGAGGGTATAGCAGATGAAACTTCAAGCAAGTCTGTGTATGGTTTGCAGCTTTGGAAGTGTGATAGATTCAGTTTGGCACCACTACTACAGCAAGGGCACTTGGACCAGCACATCAAAGCAGGGACAGATCTCTCCAAGCTCTCCACTGCTGCTGCTGCTGCCATAGCAGGGATGGTGTGCAGGCCTGAGAAGGTGGCCACTAGGGCAATGAAGAAGAGAAAATTGGATTCCCTGGGCTTCAACACCGCTCACCTTGAGTCTTGGTATTACAACTGAGCATAGAATTTTTTCAGAAAATGAGGTGTCATGGGGGAGAAACATCTAACTGAAGGATATATAGTGTAACCAAGAACCAAATTCAGAAAACTCAACAATGTTCAAAAGTCATGAAAAAGATCTAGCAGATTCTTCCCCTACATTTGCTCTTCTTCTCTGATTCAGAGATTTGTGGTAGAGACCATTTATTCTCGTATCTTTTTGATTTTTTTTCTTCTGTGTGTGCCCATCTTTATCATCAACAGTAAATTCCAAGATCTTTCTGTGTCTTTGTACAGTTTTAGTATAATTTTCACCACTTGACTAGAATTCTACATGGGCATTTCTGCCACTTGCCTCTTCAAACAGTCAAAATAGATGATTTCTTCTGTACCTTAAGTACCTTAAGAATTTGTAACATTCCTGGACAACCTGGGTATTTTTTGTTTGACTTGGTTCTACTATCTAGGTTATTTGCATAAATTCCTGTCTTATGTTTTCTAGTGCAGATATGTATTTTTAGAAACTATGAGACAGTGGCAATTCTTTTCCATTTGCCATTTTATCTTCTTTCCAGATACCATTGAACCATTTTCCATTGTTGGTATCTTTGCATCACTTTATCTCTTCTGAATGCTTTAAAACTCAGTGAAGTATTGAGCCAGGTCAACCTCTTACTTTCATTGCTTCTTTTTATTACTTCTTTTCTTTCAATTCTCTGCTCTTCTTCCTTTTTTTGTCCAGTTTTCTCTTTTAGGAATGTCAGTTCCCAATTAGCCTAAAGGTAAAATAAACTTCTCACTTCCCTGGCATGCCTGATGGCTCTCCTGGCTCTTGTGGCTGTTGGACAAGTTATAAACTCTTATGAAACCTTTTGGATGTTTTCTATTGGAATTAACAACATCAGTGACATGTGGTTTGAGAGACCCTGCACAATAAAAATAGTTCCTTTTGTAAGAAGCATAGAGGAGAGATTCCATTCCTGTCTTAACAACCTGATGTCTGTCATTTTACCAATTAACCAAGAGCATGTACAATGGCCAAAGCATGTGCTAACTGCAATAAGCAGGTTCACAGGATCTACTGAGGACTAGAATAAATCTTCCTTCTCAAATGTGAGCTGCTTTGTGTAGACCTGGTGATATCAAGACCCAGTCACAGTTTTATTTTCCCTTGAATATTTTGGCCTTCTCTTTTCGTACATCTCTTTCCACTTTTATTAAGAATGATCCCTTAAAATTCCCATGCAAGCTAAGATCCAAATCTCCTTTTCTTCCTGCCCTTTTAGAGGGGTTGCACAGCACAAAAAGAGGCTTGAATAGATTTAGGTACTCAATTACTCATTAACAGGGTTTCTGTCACCATGACCAGCTGAATGTGCACCTTCTGGCTGTCTGCATGCCAGCCAGTCCCTGTGCCTGCCTTATCATCTATACCTACCAAACTGAGAAACTGATACCAACGTGGAGACAGCAAAAGGAAGCTGCAAAAGTGCCATGTTTGTATAAGAGAAAAGGAGCAAACCTATTTGCCCAAGGTTGCTGACAAAGTTTATTAGCTGCCAAATTTGGCTTGGAGCCTCAGCTGTGTACTGGCTGGTGCTGGACCACGGTTCATTGCACGCCTCTCTCTGATGGCCTCAACTTGCCCTGTGATTCTTTTCTCTCCCTGTTCCCTCCCTCGTCTCTGCAGATTGTCCTGTGTTCCTGTCCTGGCACTGCCATGCTGCGAGCATGAGCTGGGAACTTCCCAGCCCTAGTTAAGTGCCCTGCTATTGACTGGCTTCCTGAGTAGCCATGGGAAGCCCTTCCTGAGTAGCCATGGGAAGCAGCAGGAGGTTCATTGAGGAAGCTGAGGGGGTCGAGTTACAGTTTCAATCTCATCAGTTTCCTAAGAAGGCAGTGGAGATCACTGAAAGATCGATAACTGAATAAGCTGGGAAAAAACAACACTCTTTTTACTCCTTGCTGCATACTTATTGCCTTTGGTGTTGTTCAAGTTCATCCCTGCTAAAAGTTGAATTTCAATGGTATGTTACTGCCTGATTCCTTCAGATTTCAGGGAGCTGTCTAGCACAGGCAGAGAAGTGAGGAAAAGAGAAGCACATAATTCATAACACTGTCTTTGCAGAATCGTTCCATTCAAGAAGGATTGGAAGGAATCTATAAGATCTTACAGACACAGAGTTCATTTAACCCTTTCCAATGCAGTTAAATATACTCACCAGAGCTGTAGCAATTAAGGCTGAAATATTGCTGTGCACAGTCCAGGTGAACCAAAGACTTCTCCATCTATTCAGCAATTAGACAGGTAGAAGTTTCCCCTGGAAGGGCAATCCATGGCACCACACGGCAAATGCATTTAGCACTTTAATATCTGGGCAATTATTCTGTTCTTGCCACTGATTGATGCAGAGTGTGACATGTTTGTTTTCAGAAAAAAACCCCAAACAAACCACATGCATTAATGAGTTTCTCTTCAGGGGAAAGGAATATTCTCAGATTCTTCTATGAGTTTTAGCAAGCTGCCTCTGATGTCCTTCCCAGCACGGGAAAACCTGTAGCAACCTCCATGCTGGCAGTGAGACTGCTGGAGTTATTCACATAGACCTGGAAAATGCTTTCTCTCATTCAGAGACTGCCATTGCAGAAGTTTCATTCTGGAGTGCTCTTATATTTGAGACCATTTATTTTTATTGGGGGGTTTTAATCAGGTAAGACTGAGGATTTCAGGAATTCCCAAGGAAGTGCCGTCGGGTTTTAGTTGAGTGCTGCACCAGCCAGCTGCATTTGCAGTGTTCACCCTGCTTTCAGACCCATACAAAATGCAGCAAGAGTCGTGAAGCGAAGGTGAAGGGGAGGGAAGGGATGTCTGGTGCTGCTTGCAGGGAGCGGGCGCTGCCGCTGCCCGGGGCCGTGCGGGGAGCGGGGATGCGGGGCCCGCCCGCTCCAGGCTCCCGGGCTGCGCTCCTGCGGCGCTCCCGCGGCACACGGATGCCGCCTGTAGGACTGCGAGAGATGCTTGCAAATAAACCTGGCGCTTGTATGTTCCATCAGCTGTGCCTGCTTTATTTTAACAGACTTCTAGTGTCATCGGGATAGTTATTTGTTGTCTGGTGAGCTCGGGGGGGATATCCAAGTGCATTTATTTTTGATGTGATACCAACTTCTTATTTGAAAGAAATAGATATGATTGCATGGAGAAAAGAGGTTTTTGGTTGTTTGGTTTTTTTTAATTCAAGCATTATGTTCCTCAACACTTCTTTTCTTTTTAGACAATTTATAAAGATTTCTCTGATCTTAGCAACTGTTAGCGAGTTTATTCTTTCCTATTGGTATTAACTGCTCCTGGTAAGTATCTTCCTTGTTTCGTTCCCAGCAAGAGAAATAAATGTCAACTAACAGAATAACATTATGCTTTATTGACAGGGAATTAAGGGGTTTGTGTCATCAATGTCCGTAAAGCAGTACTGCGTGCATGAGTCATGTGCAGCTGATGGGAAGACCAAAAACCAAAGAGCAGAATGCAAAAAATAATAGGATGAGGCAGGGCAAAGGTTTTAAAGTGATGGGAAAAGGGTCCTCAGAACCCTTTGAGATAACAGAGAAGGTGTGTCATTGTTATGGGTGGAGAGAGAAGGGGAGACAGGAAGAAAAAGCAAAACCAAACTAGAATGGTAGGAGAGGTGTAAAGCAAAGGGTCTGAGGAGGAGCAAAAGGAAAGTCAAGGGAGAGTGACCAAGTTAGTAAAGGGAGGGGCAACAGGACAATTGCAGAGATGCATTAGGGTATCAAAAGAATGAGAGGGGCTGGGTGGAAAAGACCACCCTGAAGAAGAGGGAATCTTAAGAGTGTGCTATTCCCTCTCCATCAAAGATTTATAGGAGGTGGTGTCCCCTCCTTCTCTCTAGTGCTGCTGTGTTCATGTTTCATTTTGCTTGCTCCATTTTAGACACTTCAGGAAAGTCCTTTGTTTGTTCTCAGCACAGAACTCTTGTTAGCTAGTGCTCACCTGTGCCTGGATGGTGCTGTTCCTTATCATTGATCAGCAGTGTGAGGTCTGCTACTGAGTGATTATTTTGGCATAATTGACACTTAGCTTCTAATTGTCTTTTTCACACTTCCAAAAAAATTGAGCAATAGTAGTTGATAAAGGATTTTTTGTTTAATGCTGTATAACAATATTACAGATTAATTTTATTTAGGGTAGCTTGAAATTAAGCTAATGGATTTTTTTCTCTTAAAAGTTCAATACAAATATGGCATCATGTTTATATTGGTTTAATAAAACATGGACAATTTCTGAGTTTAAATGGTGAAGGAAAACCATACAAAACTCCCAGTGATTATGAGAAGGAAGTTTTGGGGGGTTCAGTTTGGGTTTTTCTTTTCCTCTAGCTCTTTATTTCCAAAAAACAATTGCCCTTCTGGAAGATACAGTTTATCCAGTGAAAGTGGTTTAGGTTGAGCTGAGCAGGGAGATGGTGAGCAGCATGGTCAGTATGTTCTATGAAGAACATGCTTGAACATGCTGCTGTGAACATCCTTTTTACCCTGGGTGAAAGTGTCTGACCAGAAGCAGCAGTGATCCCCCCTAATCGTGGTGCCTGTTGAAAGCCGGCATTGCAAGACCCTTTTCACCTGGAAGGATAGGGGCCCATGTGTGGGTCAAGGACAAGAAACAGTGAGTTCAGAGGTATTTGAAGGGAAATGGAAAGTATCAGAAATTTAATCAATTCTGATGTCTTTGATTTCTTGGGGGAGAGGAGAGGAAAAGAGCCCTCTTCTGTTTCAGCACTGGAATTGCTAAGCTTCATTTTAAAAGAGCACAAGAAAAGAACAGGGTGTAGCAGTTCTGAAATCCATGTACTGAGTTTCATGAGATTACAAAGGTGCTTTTATACCTCATTTGATATAAGATATGGTCTACAGTATTTGAAAATAATCTGTGTCCAAATTCAGCATGACAGGCACCCTCCCTTTCTTACTTTCATCCGGTGTCACATATCACTCAGTGCAGAATAAAAGGATCAGGATTCTTTAATTCACCTCTTTGAAAATAACAGCCGTGTACATCTCTATGATCTTTGAGTATTTTATTGTTGCTGTCTTTTATGCTGCTTTTCTGCTGCTTAGCACCCACCATTAAACATACCAAGGATAAATTCCTTATGCTCTTAGCTCATCATACTCCAAGGTATTTTACAACATTCAGTGTGGCAAAGAGGCCACCTGGAGTAAAATTTAGTTTCCTCTCTTTGCCTCTGAAACTCCTCCCTGTCCACCCACTCACACTTCCCAGTTACCTTTTCCTTCTAGCAAACATTGACTTGGCTTTTTTTCCTCAGTTTTGATAATTGCCTGCAACATGTGTTCATTTTCAGTGATTTTGGTCTTTTTTGTTCTTCACTTGGCATGTTTCAGCTAGCTCAACCTAACTGCAAAGAGTTAAGATTTATATATTTGATAGTAATGACTATTTTACATCCTGAGAAAAGGTGGAGGGAGGAGGCAGGCAAAATTCCTGTATAAACTATTTGTAACTTGCCTTGAGGTTTTTTTTATGTTTAAAGTCAATCAGCCAAGGCCTAGAGTAGAGAGATTGTAGAAGAATGAGCCTACTTCACCCTCATATTTTCTTTCAAAATGTATATAGGTTTAATGCTCAGTTGTCTTTAGCACTAATGAATGGTTTTGATTTGTACCAGCCTAATCTTCATTTTTGGCTTCAAGCTACTTTATGTTTTCTAGTGAACTGCTGTTAAATCAGATTTTGTTACTGTATCAACTCTTTTTTGTTTGCTTTTTTTCCCCCCCTGTAAAGAAGGCTAAATTAGCAATAATAATTTCCTTTGCCTACAACCCTGAATGGGCATATATTGAAAAGTACAATGTAGTATTATAAAAAAAAAATCCTGGAGATAAATGAATGGCAGAATAAATAATTTATGCTAATGAAATTACTGCAATTAGTAGTTCCACAATGACCCTTTTAAAAGCCACAGCTGTTAATGTCAGGAAGTGCTGTCACCGCTGACCTTATCATAAGAGAAAGTGACAAATTGAAAATGCAGGGAAGACCAATCCTCAAAGAGGTCTGTTCGGGAACGATTAGTGTTTTCTGAAAACCAGTGTGAATTACAACCAGCTGCTCTCTGGCTCGGCGTGGCTCCCATGCTGTGCCATTTTGTTAAGCTCCATAACAATAGTTATTTTGCCCCATTGAGACGAGTTGTCTCGGGCCACTTCCAGCTCTACCGGAACCCACTCCGTCCCTCACTGATTTACAAATGAAACTGTTGTTAGAGGGCTTTTCAGGGCTGCTGAGTAGAGACCTCTCATAAGGATCATGTGTGAGGAGGTTGTCTTTCACTGGGAAGAGCTGTACTGCAGGGTGCGTGTGTGTCGCAAACAATGAAAAAAGGAGAAAAGGGCTGAAATGCATTTCAGTTGGAAGCTAAATGCTGCTCAAATCTGCATAAAATGCCTATTCCTGCTGACTAGCCTTGCTTCTACAAACGATTTTTTAAAAGATGAATTTGTACTACATTGCTTCCACTAATGATGTTCTGGTTTTTTCCTATTTGTAGAGCAATTTGCCTCTGCTCTCCCAAAATGCAAATTATTCTTTATTTAGTTCTTGCTTTAATTTCTGTTTTTCTGATCACAGGTGAAATAAGTATTCTTCTAAACTAGCTCTGAAAAGGCACAAGGAAATAATGAGTTTTCTTACTGAGAAAAATGGCAAGCCTTTCTGCATCAACCTGATTGTAATATTAATGATGTAGGCTTAAAACATTTGACTGCATCAACAGCCACTCATGAGCAATTTTCCCAAAGTTCCCTAAGCATTATTGACAATGCTTTGGTAAATTATGTGTGACTTTCCTAAGAGTTGGTGTAGCTCATTTAATTCATATTAATTGATTTTTAGGCTTCCCTTGATTAATTGAACTGGGTTCGTCTTGTAGAGAATGCAATAAATAATCATTAAAATGAGGGAGATGTGACTCCACAAATGATAAAGTTTAAGTGTGCTAGAAGTCATAGAGGACAAAATGAAAGTTAGTTACAGTGATGAAGTTAAATGGGTTTTCTTAGTATTTCCCTTTTAATTTTGCATACAGTACTCTTGTTTAGACATGTATGTGAATTTATACTATTAGTATATGTGGATAGGGTCCTCTGAAACAAACAAAAATTAAATCTGGAGATTTTCTATATATTGTTTATCCTGGGAAAGTATACTCTAATTCAAAGGACTGGAGTGATATCTTGTATTTGCTAGTTCAGTTTTCAACAAATTTAGGAAATGGACCTTTGAACTTTGATCCTGAACCCCTCTTGTTGTCAGAGGTGAATAAAGACAGGCATTTTATCTCTTCATTTTCCTCAGAAACACATGACTTAATGGCCATGTGGAGTTGTTTTAAATGTGCCTGGCCTGTTTTGATTTTTACATAGTATGTGAAGAGAAATTTCTGGCCTCCAGCTGCATTTTGGTCTCTGTGATGAGAGAGAAACCCCATGTGGTTCTGTGTGGGACCCACCACAGGGACACCCCCGAGCTCTGGGCTCCCTTCTTCAGTGTGCTGAGATTTGCTTGCAGCTGGAGTTTTGGTTGGTGGTTTGATGCCTTGGCTGGCACACAGGGAAGACCCTCCACTGTCACAGCTGGGAGTGAATCTGAACTCCATGAGAGATAGCAACTTTTCTTCTTAATACCCCTTGAAGCTGATACAAGGTAATTTTAGCAGAGAAATGTTGCTGATTTTCTGACATTTTATGGTGTCTATAGGCTCAGCTTCACGGGGAGAACTCCACAGTGGTCTAAATCCTGCCCTCCTTGGAATTTGTTAGTCTATCATTTAGAAGCACAGATAAGCAGGGGTGGCACAACTTTGGAAATATAAATTGTGGTGCCCAGTTCTGTTCAAACTGAAGTGGATGGCAAAAATGCACTTCACTCCAAACAGGAATTTCATGATATATGAAGTGTGTGAGGACCAGTGTGATAAGAGCAACCACTCTACTGTATTTCTT